TGATGCTGATGCTGATTTTGTTCAGGTTGATTCTGATTTAGTGCAACCAGAGTAGAACTGGCCAGAGAGCTCACTGGGCTAGCATCATTTCAGGGGCAGACCCCCAGGTCTGTCTTAACTGTATATTATCAAAACAGATGCATGAACCTTAAGGTGAACTGCCCCACAGGCCAGGAAGCCTAAGGCCACAGAAAGCCAGGATTGATTCTAAAGCTCAAGAATGTTATCCAATGCATCCCCAATTTCCGCTCTGCCATTCTCAGAACTTTAGCTGTAATCCACTTGATAGTGCAAAGCGACTGCATTAGCTCCAAACAACATATCCTCACACTGCATCATCTAAAGACAGGAAGAAAGAGTTTGTATCTTTTATCATGTAGGATATTACATCTGTCTACTTGTCTAGTGCAGTGGTTCTCAACCTTCCTAATGCCATGACCCTTTAATACCGTTCCTCATGTTGTCTTTTCATGTTGTTCCTAAAGTTATTTTTGTTGCTACTTCATAACTCTAATTTTGCTACTGTTATGAATCGGGATCCCTGTGAAAGGGTCATTCAACCCCCAAAGGGGTCGCGACCCACAGGTTGAAAACCGCTGGTCTAGTGGGTTTATTTTCTTAAAATAGAGTGACTAAATATATTTTTACAAATGTTAAGTTCAAAGGGCTCACATCGTTTCATAACCTTATTCTTCTTGTGAAGGGTCTTGAGGTAGTTTGTAACTTCTACAGTATTGTTGGGAGTCCTACTCCCAACGTACTCGCATATATCCACATAGCAGCCTGTAGGGCTGCTAACCACAAGGTCAGAAGTTGGGAACTGCCAGAGAGAGCTCTGGCTTTCTACCTCCTTCAACGGGGCAGTTCGACCCTGTCCCACAGGGTCATTATGAATTGACATCGCCCAGCTAGCAGTGAGTTTGTGTTTTTCAGAATAATGTTGTTGCAGTATGTGAAGTTATCCATTATGGGATCTGAATCACTTATTTTTTAGTATTAGGAATTTGATGGATAAGAGCAGAACTCATTTGCAATGTATATTAATCTAAAAACAAAGTAAATACAAGTAAAGATGTAAAATCTAATAAGACTTTTTAATTCTATACTAAATATAGTACCCTATTCTATCTTAACTTTGTATTTTAATGCCTTAAATATGTTTATAGAATTTGTTTCCCTCATAGTTCTTAAGGAGAAAAAAATATTTTAGGTGGAAAATATTACATCAAACCCAAGTTACCACATTCTATTAAATTATCATATTCTTTAAAAAAAATCACCAGATGCTTTTCTTTATAATGATATTTTGTGACTTCATACCTGTTGAACATTAGCTTTTGTGTAGTTGATGACTTAAAGGTGCACCTTCCCAATGGGTGTCCTTGCACATTATTCAATAACAAATATCTCTTATTTGGCTGAAAGGTGGCCTTCAGAGTGGCTTCAGTACCAAGTTAGGTAGGTATCTTAGGAGAATAATTGCAGAAGCTCCTCTACTCTACCAGTCCAGTAAATCTGATCTTTTTTGTGAATTTGGGCTTTGATTAACATGTTTCTCCCACTCTAACTGGAATTTTCTACTCTGTCCTTCATCCAGTGGCTAAGAATGTAGCCTGGTGGCATCTTCTATGCCTAAAAGAGTCTGTGGTTCACATGGGCCTTCAGTGCAATGGATTAATTTCTTCTGAGTCTTTTATTTCCTTCACTGCCCCTTGTAACAAACAGGAAAGGACTCATAGTTATTTCTGTGATGGCCATTTTCAAAATCTCTCTTTATGGTTTT